GAAATAAGTTTGTACAACGCACATAGATATTAAAAACATTTATAGACAAAGCTTCATGCAGATTCATCATTAATCATGAACAACTCAAGTTGTAGCTGGAACGTACAGGTTATATCTAAAAGGGGCCACGGAAATGACACATATACTAATACCTAAAATAAAACAAAGAACTTTTGGTGCTGGAGATCTAAAACACACAAAAACAGAAATTGCTGGAAAAACTCTGGCAACACTTGTGCAGAGAAAGCCCAGTGACGACTTCAGAACTGATAGAAGCTGCTAGGAAAAGTAGTATTTGTGCTGATGGAGTGGGGTATAAATAGGTGGAGAGGGAGCCCAGAGAGAAAGCAAGAGTTAGACAGGAAAAAAGATCAGCCAGACAAAAGGGATTGTTGACAGTAAGCCAGGGAAGAAGAGAAGCTAGACATATTATAATGAGCATTGAGTAGGTGAAAATGGTTTGGCTGCGCTGAAAGCAACCAATGTCATGACAAGACCTAGGGAGTGGAGGTGAATAATAAACCTAGAAGGAGATGGTCATGCTCAAACTGTTAAACACGATATTGAGCCTTGAGAGTTGCAAGGTTCCCAAGCAGAAGATGAAGGTTTGTTTTTAAAACTCATTTTGTGGGACGTGGGCATTGCTGGCTGGCCAGCCAACATTTATTGCCGGTCTCTAGTTGCTCTTCAGAAGGTAGTGGTGAGTGCCTCCTTGAACTGTAGTCCACCTGCTGTGGTTTGGCCCACAATGCCATCAGGGAGGGAGTTCTACGATTTTGACCCAGCAACAGTGAAGGAACTGCAATAAAGTTTCAAGTCAGGATGGTGACTGATTTGGAGGAGAACTTGAAGGTGGTGGTGTTCCCGTATATCTGCTGCCCTTGTCCTTCTAGATCAAAGTGGTCATAGGTTTGGAAGATGAAGATGCTGGCTGAGGATCTTTGGTGAATTTCTGCAGTGCATCTTGTAGATAGTACACATTGCTGCTAGTAAATGATGGTGGTGGAGGGAGTGGATGCTTTTGGATATAGTGCCAATTAAGTGGGCTGCTTTGTCTTGGGCAGTGTCAAGCTTCAAGTGTTGTTGGAGCTGTACTCATCCAGGCTAGTGTGGATTATTCCATCAAACTCCTGATGTGTGCCTTGTAGATGGTGGACAGGCTTTGAGGATTCAGGTGGTGACTTACTCACTGCAGTACTCTTAACTTCTGACCTGCTCTTGCAGTCACTGTGCTTATGTGGTGAGTCCAGTTGAGTTTCTGGCCAATGACAGCCCCCCAGGACATTGATAGTGAGGAATTCAGTGATGCAGATATGTCCTGGAGCCAAGATGACTGACCTCCAACTTCCATGATCATCTTCCTGTGTGTCAGGTATGGCTCCAAACACAAGGTGTCACTCTTCTAGATTGCATTGAGTCTTGCTGCAGGAGGTCCAAGACAGAAATGTTGGCACAGCAATTCTGATGTGTTGAGCTGGCAGGCAACTCTAAGCTCGGAGTCAGTTTTACAGACAGAACAATCTCTCTGGGCTCTCCCTCCAACTCTCTGCTCACTCCTTTTCCGCACCCCTTACTCCTATCATCAGCATAAATTAACACTCCTCCTCAACTATCAGTTCTGAAGAAGTTCAGAAATCACACACACCATGTTACAGTACATGTTTATTTAAAATATCCTTCTTCAGCTTCGAATTTTTCAAATAAACCTGTTGGACTATAAACTGGTATTGTGTGATTTCTGACCTTGTCCACCCCAGTCCAACACCTGCACCTCCACATCAAGTTCTGAAGAAGGGTCACTAGACTCAATGTTAACTTTGTTTTGTCACCACAGGTACTGTCAGACCTGCTGAGATTCTTCAGCAATTTTATATGCTAACAACTAAATTATTGTTCAGCTGAAACAACAAAAATGTTTGAACAATAAGGCCTGGGAAGAGCAAAAAAAAAATCACACCTGGACATGACAATAATATCGATTACAGGAGACCTATTAGAATAATCCAACTGATAAGAAATCCAAAGATTCTTATCACATGAATATCATTAGAAACTAGGATAAAACAACATTCAAAGGCAGATAAAATAAAACATCTTGACTGACAAACCTTTAAAGAATTCTTTTCAGATTAAAATGATAAGTGAGGGATGAAAGGAGTACAAAATGACCATATTGACTAGGTAATAGCTCAACTTCAGAAAGGAATCTTCCAATTAAAGAATAATGTTAAATTATCCATTTCCATGTGATACTGTGAGAAATCCATGGAGAGTTGACACCCATATTTGCAAAGCACAAGAAACCCAAAAAGATATTTTAAAAAAAGATCATTTCACCGAAACCTCAGAAGTATTAGAAACCTTCATAATACCTCCCAAAAAACACTCTCCCCAACCAGGAAAGATGCTGAACTTGCTTGGGGTTTTAAGGAAAAGCTCTGCCTTAATAACAATCAACATTTAAGATACTGTTAGATATTTCGTTCTTAGCTTTCTTAGATATTCCTCAATGTTCTTATATTTAACCATCCAACAGTACTGTTTATTAATTTTAGTTAATAATATTATAAAATTCATAAATATAGTCTCATTTTAGATTTTGTAACAACTGGAACAAGCACCAGTATCCTACACATTTCCTCAAGTAGGGAAATTAGTTTTCTGAAGAGAGCTCCCAGATCCTTAAAATATCTGGCAAGTTTACAGCATATGGTTTAGCTAAAGGTTATTTGGATGACAGTAACATTCTTGGCTAGCTTCTCCTGTGGGGTGGTTGTCTAAATCCTACAAACCCAAAATTAAGTGTTTGTGAAACTGACTAACTTGAATTCTGCCGTCAGAAATGACCAGTGAAATACTCATGATCCAATTTAGCTAAGTTTATAAATCACTTCAAAATTATGCCAAAGATCGCCAGAGCATTCAAAAACTCCTGGCATTGCTTATAATTTTACTTGTTCAAGTTATTTCTTCACCTGACATGTGAACTCAGACAGGATAGCACTGGAGGGACAAAAACAGAAGCAAAATAAACTAAAATCTATAATGATAGAAATTGTAAAATGTAAATAAGTCTAGACAAATCATACTCAAGTCATACTAAATAACCCAATTCTCCCAAAGTCTGTTCTAAGCAGTGAACCATTTTGTAGTGCAAAAGCACAGAAGTACTGTCAGCACAGCAGTTGGCCAGTTCAAGTGCAACACCACTCAAATTTTTCCATTCACTTGCTCTTGAATTCTAATTAGGAGATCATTTCGAATTAATAGTACTCATCCTCCTCCCAATTTCAAAGCGAAATGACCAGCTAGCTATACCAGTCTATAGTATGTTTTGAAGTGCAATTAGTACAAAATATCAATAGCATGGGTGTCAAATCTGTTTGGATAGTAAAATAAAACTCTGACACTTTCTTATATATTGTATGACTAAAACATTTCTATCTAGCATCCAAAATTAACTGAACATATTAAGCAACAAATAAATAAATCATTCCCAGTCATGATGACATTGCTTTCAAACAATTTTCTTTTTATGAATCTAAATTCAAAGCAAAATAGTACAAAGTTTGCATTGAATATTCTAAAAATAGTAAACGTTCTTTTTGAGGTATCAGTTTATGCAAAGAACTGAAGAGAATTTTGCCAACATTTTGTACACACATGGATTTAAGATTCAAGTATCTGAATTTGTTTGCAATAAAACATCTGCAAATGTAAAGATCTAATGCACCTAGCAAAAGGCAGGAAATTATGTTTGAATTTCAAGTTATTGAAACACTCCAGCACCAATTTCTTTTCTTGAATGTTTACTTTAAAGCCATCTTAGCAATATATAAAAGATGAGTAATTAGAACAAAATAAGATTAGCTTGTTTTTTCAGGACATTGACACTCAAAATCAACAACTGTTGTCAATTAAATTCACAAACTCTCTAGCACACTTGAACAAACCTAGAAAAAAACTTCAGGGTCTGAGACCACTGCCTCAATACGTTGTTATAAAGATCAATCTGCAGGGAGTTTATGAAAACCATCCAATGCATTGGGTTTCACAGATTGACAGTCTTAATTAAATCAGTTTGATGTGAGGAAATGAACTTCATATTCCTACATTTTACTAGGTGTTGCAAAGGTAAATGGTTTTCATGCCAAAAGATGTCCTGGGTGGGTGGGCAGGAAAGTTACAGGAGAACAATGTAATGAGGCACTAATTTATTTTGAATCTATGCTCATGGCTGGTGAAGTTGGGGTGGGGAGAGGAGGAGTGGGAGAGCGAGAGAACAGGAGAACAGGGGAGGGATTCACTAATATCCTCAGGGAAGCAAATCTGCCTTCCTTGGCCTACAAGCAACAATGTTATTGACTCAATTACTTTCTGGACAATTGGAGGCGAACGGAAAAATGAGATTACTTTCAATCCACAGACAGTATCAAAAAACAGCAAAAGTAATGCAAAAGTGAATAATCGTTGAGATGGTTGCCTGTAGATTATCTGCCTACAGGATACCCAGGAACTTTTCCTGACATGGGTTTAACTATTCTTTCAATTGTCCATACATTTATAGTGTGCCATACTAGTGCAAACAGAATATGGGTAGGTCACATTCTGCAGATAGAAATGAAGATGCATGTTGACTTTCGAGATCAACCATCCCGCATTTCAGAACTCAAATCTCAAATATTGTTATTGGTGACCAGAAATAGAACTTAAACACACTTCCCCTCATCCTCCCCAAAACCCACTCCTGGTCAAGCTTTTATTCACCCTGCCCAAAATTTCATTAACATCCATTTGTCAAATTTGGCTTTGGTAAAAGATCTTTGTTTGACTTTTTTTTTTTTAAATGCAGTCATTTATTAAACAAATCTACTTGAACATTAGCACTCTCAAATGTTGCAAAAGCTTTCACAAAACCCAAAATTTCGAATTATACATTTGCAATATTGTATTAGCAAAATGGTAACACATTTAAGACAAGATAAACAACAACTACTTGCCTTCAAAGAATCTACCAGGTCTTCAACAAGGAACAGTCGTCTTAATTCAGTAATCACACGGTTGATATAGCTTAGCCCAATATCACTATACTTGCGCACTAGTTCATCAGATACAGCAACGTCTGTCTCCAAACAGGCCCTAAAAAAGAAAAATTATGGTAGTGTACAAGACTAAAACAGGAATTTACCAACTAATTGGAATCCTGCTGTGAACTAGCTATTTTGATAAACTGAAAATCATCTAAGTTATACTTTTTGCTTTTATCTTAAGTACTAATTATGATAACTTCCATCACTGCAGCATGGGAATGGCAGCATGCCTTGTAAAAATATTAGTTTTTGCCAAAGATACAAATGCAGTTCATTATAATAGCTTTTAAGTTAGTCAAGAAAATTTCTAAAAACAATGAAATGCCCACAAAAGAATGCGGGATAACAATTTCACCTTATAGTGGTATCATGTCTTGTTTTGAGTTACATGCAAAAAGAAATGCACTAATGTCGAGAACGATTTCTCAATTTCTTCACACCCTCTTAATGTTTCATATTATAGATTAATATGACAATACACGTCAGGGTAAGTAGCCCCAATTATTTAAATTATACTTACTTGAACGGGTGCCCTTCATCAGACTTCTGCACTGCTTGCAGAATACCTCTGTATATCCTGAAACTAATGGTAACTGAAAGCAGTGCCAGCGCAAGGTATGCAATTACACTGACAATGCTGAAAATTGTCATAGACAGCAGCAAGAACAGGCTCGCACCGAACACCAATCCAGTCTTCTTAATATCACGCCAGTAGATTAAGTCCACCACTGCCAGAATTAAAGGGGGAGAACTATGAGTTAGCATATCGCATTGACTATTTTCATTGCATAATACGCAGCATAATCCAATGTAATGTGTCACGTAATTGTTGATTACCTTAAAATGCAGTCAGTAACTATGTTCAATAATTGTATTTGGAACAGAACTGCAAATTAATGTGTAAACATTTGCAAACTGTGCTGGGTAGGTGTTAAAACGCACACCCTAACAAGCCGATACCCAGATCTTGTGGTTACTAGCTCTCAGGTGTGCTCTTCTTCGCCACCGCCGCATCAGTAAATCATCCTTCAAATTAGGACACAAAATTACAATTCCAACAAAACTGCTAAGCTGTACTATGGACAATTAACTTTACAATGTAATTTAAAATTACAAGATGGCCCAAGAAATCAGTAAACCAGCTTTATTTGCTGCTAAAAGTGTTTGGTTTTGAAAGATGGGAAAAAGAGACAAAGGATGGAAGGGCATAGCACAACTAGACCTGACAATTTCACCATCAGTAGCACTACACTCAGCCATTCACAGAATAGCTGGAAAATTCACAATCTAGTGAAAGGCATGTTGAATCCATTTGAAGGGCAATAACAGTGAATATCAATCTTTTAAAAGTCTCCATTTTGGGAAAAATGTTCAAACTGTACAAAATTTTAGTAAGCCCACAAACTGTCTGCCAATTAAAATGAATTTGTGAAACCTATTTAAAAGTTACAATTTTCCAAAAGCTCAATAAGATGATTCTATCAATCTGTTATTGATTTATTTTTTGGTCCATTCTGCACAAAGGACATATTAACCACATTGAATGGTTGCAGCTTGATAACAGATCAACAAATTTATTCTAATACAGCTATTGCCGATAAATGCACTGCAGCTATTACTACAGCATGAAGATCATAAATATAACGCCTTTAAAATACATAACCAAAATTGAAGGGATTTGTAAAGCCAGACAGAAAACAAATGAGTCATTAAAAATGGATATTTACTGTCTATATCAGTCAGCCCACATCTTCAGATTTAACTAATGGAAACATGACAATTTCCATTTTAAACTGTTAATTTTAACTGTACAAATTATATTAGATGTTCTTTGTCCCCCATCATAACAAAAGCAAAACAATATTGAAACCATGGGAATGATCTCCACTCCCCCCTACCCAAGAGGTGGCAAGGAGAAAGAATGAGGAGAGTTGCCCTGGAATGAAATGAAATGTACTTCCTCACCAACCCTGCAATTTCATAGACAGAGACAGGTTCATAGAATCCCTACAGTATGGAAACAGGCCCTTCGGCCCAATAAAGTCCACACCAACCCTCAGAGCATCCCACCCAGACCCATCCCTCTATAAACCCAACTAATCTACACATCCCTGAGCACTATGGACAATTTAGCATGGTCAATCCACCTAGCCTGCACATCTTTGGACTGTGGGAGGAAACCCACGCAGAGAACATGCAAACTCCACACAGACAGTCGCCAGAGGTTGGAATCGAACCCGGGTTTCTGACGCCATGAGGCAGCAGTGCTAACCACTGAGCCACCGTTCCACGCCAATTTACTACCAAGTGAGCAAGTTCATAGGTGATTTTCTTGGCTCACCAGCAACTGAGGCCCTTCGGCAGTCAATTAAAAGGCATCTAAAAGGTTTTAACTCGCCTGATCCCTAACCAGCAAGTAAAATGGCTAGTGGGCAGGATCGGGATCCTCTATAAGCCAGCTCTTGCCCTGGCCTCTTACGCCCTGGGCTGTCTCTGCCTGCAGGAAGAGGAATAAAATCTTACTTTCTCAGGAGATCCAGTGGTGAAGAGTAAGCTACCACAGTCTGCTGACCTCTGATTGGCAGAAAGTTTCTGGCAACTCATCACCACTGTCAAGGCTTCCAACAGAAGTTGAATTAGGTTTATTGTCACATGCATGCACGAGTGCAGTGATAATTAATGAAGTCACCACTTACGGCACCATCTTAGGTACAAAGACACTTAGGTACAAAGATACCTAGGTTTGTTCTCGGTGCTGCCTGTTGTCACCAGGAATAGCCTGTCAACTCTGAACAAGCTAAATGGCAGATGATCCGGTGAGTTCTTAGTGGAGGAGGAAATCACTATCCAACACAGTTGACAACACTTTTTAAAGAATGTAAAACACCATTTACATATTTGTTTCTTTTACCAAATCAAATAGGCATCATTTCATGATACGAGGTCAGCTTCAACGAGGTATGCACCAACTCCACTGAAGTCAACAGCTTCTATGGCCATGCTAAAATTCTATATCTGTGCCATTATTTCCATCTTGCTAGCCAGCCAAAGAAACTGAAACAGGCTGTTCACAGTGTTGCAGCAGATCCAGAGTTTAGTGTCCAACCCAGAACTCTTCTTTATAAAAAGGCATCACAATAAACATCTTGGAATGATGTTCTCTACTAAATGCACTATACAAGTGTGAGTTGCTTATGTGCAATAATAATTTAATCTCAGATGCCAGAGATCCCAGAAGCTATTGTTCCATAGCTTCAGAGAAGGCAACTTTACAAAAAAAAAACTTAAAATATTTCTTCTCCATGTTTTAATATGGATTAATTTTGACAGTTGGCAAACTAAAAGTTATGATTAATTGACATTCATGGTCTCAGTAAGATCAGGCAGTTGCAAACTTTTAAAAGCCCACTTTTTGTTTGTAGATGCATTTCATGCTCCCCATTTTTAGAGGTGGGCAGGGGGGGATTCAGACTAACAATGGAAACATACCTGAAATAACTCTTCAAAAATGATAGCATTCTTGTGGCAGTAACCTTCATAACTACTGAACTTCATTGGTATTCACAGCTTTTAGAAACATTCTGCTTGTGGAATGTGAGCAGTTGGTTAGGTCAATTTGTGCATTCCTGTAACTGCCCCATTAGCTCATGGCAAGCCACGTTCTTCAACCACTGTAGTTCACATGGTTTGCTACACCCACAATGTTAGTAAGAGTGTTCCAATTTTTGATCTAGCAACAGCGGATCATATAGTTCCAAATTAGGATGGCATGGGACTTGGAGAGAACCTTGCAAAGCAGTGATGTTCCCATGCATCTAGGAACTAGGAATTACAAGAAGTCTTTTTAACAGTTTCAGCCTGTTCTGTCATCCAATAAATTTACGAAAGAGTGGGAGGAAACATCTTTCATATCAAGACAATTAAAGTAATAGGCAAAAGCGTTGAAAGAAAAAGTACTTTTACACTCAGCATGTAGTCATGGTCTGGAATGCACTGCCTGAGCCTGTGGCAGAAGAAGGTTCAATTGAGTAATTCAAAAAGGGAATTGAAATGGTTATTTTCAAAATATTTGCAGGCTTACAGAGAAAAGTCAGGAGACTGGCACAGAAAGATGTGGTCATTCAGAAAGCCAGTGTAATCATGAGCCGAACAGCTGTATTATGTGTTGTAATAATTATCATTTTACTTTCCTGCAAGCCCCCTATCAAAAATCTCTCCTGTTCTCGATCATCTAGATGATAGAATTACAAATTTGAAAGATGCTCTCAAAGGAGGGTTGGCAAATCATTGTAGTGCTTCTTATAGATGTCTCATTATTGCCAGTTTACAGTAGAGGAGGGCATTAATGATTAAGCTGGAGATATTGAATCGATCAAGAGGACTGTTTTGTTCTGATTGACCATGAGCTTAAGTACTATTGGAGATACGCTCATCCAGACAAATAATGAGTATCCCAACACAATCTTGATTTGCTCACCACAGCATTTCCAGCCTCTGACCTCTTGTTGCTACAGCATTTAAGTGTCTGATTCAGTTGCGTTTCCCAGTCAAAGTTAACGCCTAGGATCTACTGTCACTTATCAACATGTTTTTCGTAAGAAAATGGGGTTAGCCCCCTCCTTGGATTTAAAATATCCTAGTATAATTCTACAGCTAGTAAAGCTATGCTTAAGTTTGAATAAAAGGACTTTTTCCAATTTGGCCTCAGTCTACAGTAAATTTATAACAATCACAAAAAGGTAATAACTTACTGCCTTAAAATAATGTCAATTCTATCAGGAGTTCATTTTTGACAACAAAGTTGACTTAGACTTATGGTCTTCTCACAATTTATAGGCATATCTGAACTCCAGGGACTACAATTGTTGATCACTTCTTGATTCATTGAGTTATTGATTCCTGTCCTCATATTCTAAGATCCTTCACTGATTACTTTTGTCAACCAACCAGTGATAGTTAATTGAGTTGGATATAACAGTTTTCAGGCAGGTTTGGAGTAAAGCTGGCAATATTTGGGGCACATTTTCTCACTGCTTCCCCTAGCAGGTGAGCAGAAGAAATGTGAAAAGATATGCTTAGTTAAAGCTACAAACACCAATTTACCCTTTGCCTCAGTTAAGAATGGAATAGTTAACTGGTAAGAACACTCCTGTCAGGCTGCAAACTACAACTGATAATTGACATATTTCAGCAAAGCTAGAGGAGCACGGATTTAACTTGAACACCAAGACCAAAAGACTTAATGTCCATTCGGATCATACATGTGTCACTCCTGACAATATTCTGATGGACAAATACACCTGTCTTGCAGGTAAGTGAAAACAATGTCAAGTAGGTTTTAACAACTTGTTTCTCTCAGCCTCCCATTGCCTAATCAAGAAAATATGTTCTTCAGAACCTGGCCAGCTCACTCAGTAGTGGTGCTACTGAGCCACTTACTGTCGGTGCCCGACTCAGAATCTCTGTGCCCAAGCTCAGTGTTTCTTTCAAGTAGTATTCAACACAAAGGAAGAGTTTGCACAGGACAAGCACTCAAGATTTATCACCCGAAGTCAGATAATCATCATAGAATCACAGAATCCCTACAGTGTGGAAGCAGACCATTTGGCCCATCTAGTCCATACTGACCCTCCGAAGAATATCCCAACCCCCTACCCTATCCTTGCAACCCCACATTTACAATGGCCAACCCACTTCGCACATCCTGGCATACTATGGGCAATTCAGC